CCAGCAAAAAACGTCCAATAAAAATACGATGTAGTGAAGAATTCAATGAGCATAAGACACCCATAAAATTGATAGTAATTCTCAAAAACGTCAATGAATTCAACAAGTAAGCAGACGCAATTCAATTTGATCGCAGATTGAATGGATAACAACATCGTCACACACTGATAACAATCATATACTGATAAGGAACATCATACAAATACATCACTATTTGATTCTATTACCTCACTCGAGCATGTTGTCAATAACCGCTCATTTCATGGTGTTCTCTTGAGACACATCGTTGTAATTTTTAGTTGAAATGACAGTTCAGTTCACCGTTTGATGCGATGTGTAACAAGGTTATCATTTTCATGTTCGAAAGAATTTTTTGACGTAATTGATAAAATACGAGCGTAAATCAGTTTTGTTGAGGTGTATTTTCACAATTGGAATTTCATTCAATGTTTGTTCAATTGATTATACGGATTTTCTATGTTAATCTCCTAATGGACGTAATTTTTTGAATATCTTTTATAAATTTTTATCGCCTTTCACCGTATGCATCTCGCTCAACTTGAAAATTGTTGTATCTAACTTAAACGTCTATTGATTTGATTCAATGCAAGAATTGCATCGCCAAATCCGAGTGCTTCTAGAACAGTGATCATCTGTAAACGATTACCTGTCCAGATTGATTAGCGATTGAAGAGCGATGAAACAGTTTACATTCAATTACGGAACTATCGTGATTTTCAACTGTTTCTAAACGATCAAATGGAAGTGTCAAAGTGGATCGTCGGTAAAATTATGCGTTCGAATGCTTGTCCATTACAGATAAAAATCAACGAAAATGTGGTTCGACATCAATCGATTTCATATGTGCGTCTTAATAACGTGGCAATTCAGCATATTTTTTGCCTCACAAATGATTTATCCGATATTCTCGAATTACGTTCCACAATGGCGATGTAACCCCAACGAAGAATTCACATCGAACTGTACCGTATTTCTTCAATGTAACAGTACGATCGAATTCGACGAGGTCTCGTTTATCTCTATTCGTCTGTTTCATTTCATTTACATGCATCCAGACATCGAATCAGTGCCTGCGGATGCGAACTGAAAACTGATGATTTATAATCTATCAACTGAGGAGTCATCGTTACGTTGACAATCCAAAATAGATCATAGAACGGAACATGAAATACATTTGAGAAAGAGGCACATGACTTGACATGGATATGAATTGTTACTGTAAATATGCATGAGCTTTCAAAATCGGTTATCAAACGCATATCAAATACAATACAATATCATATCAAAATTCTCATGGAACTGAACCGCGATTCGAACTCTCATATCACTTATGATAGTCATTTATCTGAATTGTCTGATAACTGAAAGAATTCTGCTGTTGAAAGAAATATGGTCGTGGGGAATGATAATTGAGGAATGAATAAATGAGGATAAAAGTGAATGTGTTCATAGCATTTCAGATTTCATTTCATTCGGCTGCATTGGAGTACGATTGGATTTGTGGTAAAAAAGCATATTTCGCATCGCTTTTCAGTCAAATTCAATTCTTTGGTGTCTTATTAGGCACAGTTCTATTCGGAACTTTATCCGATAGCTTTGGTCGACGACCAACCGCTATTTTTGCTCTTGCCTTTGGAATTGCCATCTCATTCTCATCAGGTTATTTTCGTTTAATTATCTGCTATGTAAAGCTTACAAATTCTGCACTGATGCACTCTTGGAATAAGTTATAATTCAGTGCACTGTAGAACACATCTGATTGCTGGCAAATTCGATACGGCTTGTGAGGGGATCGCGATTCGACTACTCAATAATTCATCGTTATTAATTGGGAAAGCGACAGTGATAACTTTTAGTACTCTGTAGAGTGGGTATGATAGCTGATGAGATGACTTACAGGACTGGCACCGAACTGGCAGATACTGATGGTAACGCGATTTTTCGTTGGTCTTTCAATCGGCGGTACCGTAGTTGGGGTTTGCACGTACGTTATGGAAATGTTATTACCTCAACAGCGTATGGCGTTAAGAGCGTTCTTCAACTGGGTTCGTTGCTTACGGCCACATTCATTAATTCCGATAGTCTCAAATCGCTTAGAATGAACGATTCGATTATATCGAATGTGAAATCTTACGACCACATTAAACTCACCAAACTGATCCATAGAGATCATTTCTATACAGCAATGGTTCTTACGTTCGAGTGCTCCATTACCCCTTTTGATGATCTGGCAGACCACCGTTACCCCACTCCAACCTGTTACAAGATCTTACTATTTCCACGTCAGGAACAAATGGAAAACCATATGTTATGTTCGGATGACCGTTACATTCACATCTTGTTAGCGTCATGATGGTATCCGACATGGCTAGGCTTTCCCTTAGACCGTTATGTTGCTCAATACAATCGACTATGATTGCATGAGATGCTATTGTCTATTACACGCTCACTTCGATTTAGATGGTTTCTCATTCTTTTCAGACGTGTTATATTCACTCTCATAGCTATTCCATGTGAATANACTTGATACGTTGACGAGTGTTGACAGCCGTAATCAACAATACAGCAATCGAATATTATTGCTCAACAACGTTTGATAGTTGAATGATGAATTATAGAGTGTATTTGATAGAATGAGAATTTGACTTTGATTGTTGAATGAAATGAATGAGAATTTAGCAAAAGAGAACAATTTTGATGATAAAAGTTATGAGAGCGATTGAAACAGCAAGGAAAAGAATGAAAATCCCGTTAAAACGAACGGAAACTCTGTTAGGCCCTTATGAGCTAACAGTACTCAGAAAATATGAGAACGTTGCCATCAACTAACCGCATTCACATATCCGAGTTCATTCATTCTATATTCTCATATCTAAACTTCGAACCGTTCGGATTTTGAATGAATACCATTAAGGTATCAACACAAATATCCACGAATATCCTTTCGCAATACCTTTGTGATCGACTGAATGATTTGTTTGGACAATATTTTAAAATATCGGATTTTAGGGTGTAGCACGATTGATGATGACCGTAATTTGTTATGTTTTTCCTTACTGGCGTACGTCTTGTTTCGCGAATGCGATCGCCGCCCTGCCAGCACTACTCATCGTTTTGTTCATTTGCCCTGAAAGTCCTACATGGCTTCATAGCAAGGTAGTTACTATTCATTGTTTCATTTGTTCACTTCTCAAATTTGCTGATCAATTTTATCAAAAAATGATTACGATAAGTATTGTTACTCGTATATTCAATAGTGATAAAGCAAAGGCCATTATTTTTTTGTCGAGGTAGTATTTCATTATTTTGCTGACAATGAGAAGGAGAAGGTTACAAATTAAAGGGCCGTCTTGATGAGATGCGTGAAAGTGAGAAACATATCGCACGTTTCGCCGGTGTTGATTACGTTGAAGTGGAGCACAGCCGTGCGGTGAAGAATCAGAGTTTAATTGCGGTGATTCGCAATTGGTATTATGCGAAAAGGTTTCTTCCTTAAACTTTATGTTCGATGTCCTCTAATCTTATCAGAGTTATCAGTTCATTTCTGAATTTTGCATCTGAGTACTTTAAACTTTCAATTTTCACTCAACAACAATATTGTCCTTATGAGTCCCATATCAGCACTTAATACTGCATGAATGAATAAATGCATCGAAATCAGTGATCAGCTCTGATGTAATAATGATTGCAGATTATTCGTTCTGTGGTTTATGTGGTTCACAGCATCGTTATGTGGCTACGCCACGGATCTTAATTCGTCACGAATTAGCGGAAATTTTTTCGTGAATCAAATTCTTTTCTCAATCCTCATTGCAATCTCTAAGGTCAGCAACAACAATAATCAATCAACGCTTTCTATTGCTTGCAATCGACGAATTTGCTTGAATTTAACCAAAAACAGAACGAAGGCATTTTCAAATAGTGAATGCACTACGGGATGACAATACAAATGCTAATGATTTTGTTACTATTCAAGATAATCCTGGTCATATACGATTCAGTGAACAAGGCGTTCAATCGTCGCAAATTACATCAGTATGCCCAATGTATTGTTTGCATTTGCTTCTTCAGTCTCACCACACTTCTTGTCCTCGGATACCAAGTACAATAATCATTCAATTCTCTTCATTCTTGTTTATTCACTCTTTGAGTTATTGCTCATTTCCTTCCATAATTCAACTTATCATCGGCAGAGATATTCATCCGGCTTATACGAGAAATCCTACCTACCAATAAATAAGTGATCCTTCGAAGTAGTGAAGTGATCAAGTCCGAAAACATCATAAAATGTCGATCATCAGCAATTTACTGACAAAATTAAAGGGTGTCGCAATATTGGTGATTAACCTGTGCGGAACAGTATTCATCGAATACACCTGGGATGCGTGTTATCTGTGTGCTGTCGAATCGATGCCCACCGCCATGCGAGCCTCATCTCTTGGATCATGCTCGCTGATCGCTCGGATCGGTGCTCTTCTATCACCGACGGTTAATTTTAAATTATGGAAATTTTGTAAAATCACTCAATATCATACAAACCGTATTTATTCATTCATTTATATACATAAGTTTCAGTATTATTACAGTTGTT